AAGTCCCTCTCCCCCTCGCCATCCCTTCCCCCCTCTGGCGTTCGCGTGTGCGTGTGTGTGTGCGTGCGTGTGTGTGTGTGTGTGTGTGTGTGTGTGTGACCATAGACGACCCATACTAATCAGGTCTCAGAGTAAATAGCAGAGCAGGGCGATCTCAATGTAAATTGCGCTTGTCAGAAGCACACCCCCTCCCTCACTTTCTCTCCTCCTCCCCTCATTGATAGGTATGTGTATTTATTGCCATTTTATTTCTCTCTCTCCCTCTCTCTCCTCTCCTCCTCCTCCTTCTCCTCCTCTTCTGCCTCTCTCTTTCTCAGTCTCTCAATCTCTCTCTCTTCTTTCCCTCGCTCTCTTCTCTCCTTTTTCTCTTTTCTTACATATCCTCTTAGTTGTTTCCCCCGTATTCTTTTTCTCTCTCTCCTTTTTCTCCCTCCTTCTTGTCTTTTTTACTCCATTCCTGCAGAAGAGAGAGGGCTAAACTTAAAAAAAAAAAAAAGGAGGAGGAGGAGACACCCCCTTCGTATTCTTCTTATCGTTATTTTATACATATATGATTTTTTTTGGAGGGAGGGTGTTGGTTCCCGGCTGAAGAGCACTTATTTAAAATACTAAAAAAAGAACATTTTTGGGCGATCTCCAGGGTTTTTTTAACTAGCTCTGTGTGTTATAGCAGAAGAAGCAGAAGAAGGAGCAAGAAAGAGGAAAAGAAGAGGATTATTTATTCGACCTACTTTGGATGTCTCTCTCGCTTTTTTTTTTTTTTTTTTTTGCAATTCTTTTTCTTCTGAATTTTATTTTTCCTGTTTCGCTGTGAACTTGTCGCCGGCGTGAATTATCTCCTATTTTTCTTCTTTTCCATCACCTCCCCAAAGAAGAAGGCAGTGAGAGCCCGGCGCCACCGGCACAACAAAAAGAGCAAAGTGTGCGATCCTCCTCGCCCGCCGCCTCTCGCTTTCCAGCTCTGCCTTCCTGAATGGCTGGCAGCGTCCGGCCCTGGACCTGGCCCCCCGACACCGACACC